TTAAAGCTATCACTTTTATGGTTTTCTGGGAAATTTTGCCTACCTCAGTTTGACCCTGAATTTTTGGTAGTACAAATTCTCACCAAAGGTGATTGGCTGACATAAAACATATCAGTTTTTAGAATGTAAATAAGCTCCTATTTGTCACACTCATGTATCTCGATATATCATTGGTGATGTTGAAAAGAAAGTTCTAGAAAAAGTGTCTCCTCCAATCGTGTATATTCAACCTTCAAAAGCAATTATAATATCGAAAGGTAAATGACAGGTACAAAAAAAAAAATCAATTCCTATCTCTCATTAAGTTCCTCAGATGGTGAAAAGGCTTTCTTGGATAAAAGTTGGGGTCTCCAAGCTTCTATCCTGATTAGGCAAAATTCTTGAAAAGATTTCTTTATTTCGGTCAAGCAAACTCTTCTGTAATATGACACTAGTCTCAATAGCGATAAGCAAATTCATATATTGAAAGTAGGATAAGTTCCTCAAACATTCTTCTTAAAGTTACTTTCAGGAATGGCTAAATTCCTCAAATATCATGAAACTTTGAGAATATCCCAATTAGGCAAACCCCTTTTGAGAGGAAACCGTGAAATGGGGCAAGAACCTTTTGAAGGGCTTTGATTTGCATTCTTCCCCCTTTTTTTTCCAGTGCCAACTTTAGCAATTCATCGTTTTTTGGGATAATCTATAGTGACAAACTATTGGTGATGACCCTGATTAACTTAGAGGTACTATTGCCAAGTTACTAGGAGAGTAAATATTGTATCCTAAATCTGACTTAGAGTATCTAGTTTAAACTTAATTTTGTTTAGTTTGAACTAGCTTAGTGGACTCCTCATATTTTTTAAGTAATGTAGTCCTTTAACTAATAATATACAATGACAAGTTAATAGCTTTGTGAAAGTCTATAAAATATTTAGATATTTCTTAATATCTCAATAAAGACATGCTATTGTGACATGATTGCAGGTTAAAAAAAAAAAAACAATAATAATAATAATATATCTGAATTTATAAAAATTTATCAAAGGAAAATATAATTAAATATTATTGGATTTTAAACAAGTATTGAAACAAATAATTAAATATAAAGAACTATATTTATTTCAAATAACAGAAAAATATAATAAATCTAATAGAATATATTATAATAAAAAAATTAAGAAGAAAAAATCATAAAAAAAATATATTAGAACCAAAACATATCACGATTAATTAATTAAGATATTGTAAAAAAATAATGAAATATAAATATATTTTATATTTTATTTTAATGACTTTTGAAGAACCATAGAAATAAAGAAATTAAAATAAAAATGGCTTGAATTTAAACAAAAAAATAAACAAAAAAACAAATTTCAAGTTAAAATAAAAAATTAATTTTCTTTTGTAAAAGTAGAATTAGTAGCACTATACTAAGGTTCTTTGAAGAATATAGACTTTTATATCTTTTTTTCTTTTTCATTTTTATATAAGTATGTTTATATATTTTTAAAAATTTTTTTACCTTTTATTTTTTCTTTTTTATTTTATATTTTTTTGAAATTAGTTTCTTAAAAAATAATTAATAATGATAACCTATCAACAATAATATTTAAATTAGGAGAATATTTATTCAAAATTTATTATATACTAAAATATTATCTTCAAGATTGCACTTAGAGGCTAAAGCTCTTTTGAAAATTGAAAACTATTGATAAGTAATGATCTACAGGCAATAATATTAGTAGTTGGAAAGGTCTTTATTCAAACTATTGATGGAATGATAAATCACTTTCAAAACTACACTTAGAATTAGTTAAACTATAACGAGTGAGTTAGAGAATTAACTTTATTGATCATTAAAATATGTACAACCTACAAATATTTAATAAAGCACACGTAACTAGCCTGACAGGGTTACAAAAAAAAAAAAAAAATAGATCTCAAGAAATAAAACCTAACTTATTTTATATCTATATAACTTTTATTTGTAACCATCATATTCACTAAGACTTTCATAATCAATTATAACGTTTAAATAATCAGAATTAACCTATATTCACGATATTCCGAAATTACCTAAAATTTTGACACAAAACTTAATTTATCAATACCACTCAAAGAGCGACATCTCAAGTGACGAAATTAATAATTTAAAACTCTTCTAAAATTAATTTAGGAACAATGTTCATGCTTTGGAGTTCCTGAAAGAGTAGTTTCGCAGCATAGGGCATCTGCATGGTTACCATATGTTTACTTGATTTGCAATGTTGACACCATCCCCGATAACCCAATAGACCGCATTGCTCGCAAACGTGAACATCGAATTGATCCGAAGAAATCATTAGGCGCTCCATGAGCAACATGCTAGCGCCGTAACCAACAAGACAATCACGTTCCATTTCGCCCAAACGCAGACCGCCATCTCTCGATCGACCTTCGGTGGGTTGGCGAGTTAAAACGGCACGCGGACCCCTGACAAAAGAGAATTATTATAAACTAGTCCAACTTGCTAATATCTTAAAAATAGTTTACTTACCGAGCGCGAGCATGCATTTTATCCACGACCATATGCTTCAATTTTTGGTAATACACGGGGCCAAAGAAAATATAAGCAGATAAAGGTTCACCGGTTATCCCTGTGAAATTTTGGCGACCGAATCAGCCTTAAGAAACATTATGAACGTTCAGAAGACTGCGACAGGGTCTATTTCCACGGTTACCTGAAGTTACATAATCTTTTCCGGAATAATTGTATCCATGTTCGATTAGGATCTTACTCATATCTTCAACTTTGCTACCACCAAATGCAGTTCCATATTGCAATTCTCCCTTTAATACTCCAGCTTTACCAGCCAACAATTCAATCATTTTACCCACTGTCATACGTGACGGAAAGCCGTGAGGATTCATTATAATGTCGGGGCAAATACCAGTATCCGCAAAAGGCATGTCCTCTTGTGGCACGATAATGCCGCATACACCTTTTTGGCCATGACGCGACGAGAATTTATCTCCCAGCTCGGGTATGCGTGTCTGTCTTATTAGGACTTTTATGAGAGTTTGTTCTTGTTCGGTGGTAGTTACACAAACCTGTCAACGAAGAATGCATCATTAGGAGTTGTGAAATCGCAATAAAGTATGTTGAAAAAAACATCAAACCTTGTCAATATAACCCGATTCGGGTGATTTATAAGTTAAGGGCGCATGTTTCCAAGTGAATTGAATAGTTGGAGCGTTGGCTATAGGCATATTGATGGGAATGTTGGCGTTAAGATTTGTTGGTGTATGCCTATTGACAATAACCTGTCCGGGATTGACTCTTTCACCAACTCCGGCAATTCCATCCTTTTCTAAGATATTAAATCTTTCTGCAGAAGGTCCTGTTTTGAAATCTGTCGCCACTGGTGGATCCCCTATCCTATCAAAAGAACCATTCGAATATCTTTTCATTAGGGCAACGTGTTTTCTCATTACTTGACAGCGACCGAATCCACGATTAACTGACGCCTTGCGTGATACAAACAACTTTGTGAGTCTCTGGGTTGGATCGCTTCGAACGTAACATCATACAACCACCAACCTTGTTGAGAACTAATGCATCTTCGATATCGTAACCAGAGTAACTCATAACTGCAACAATGGCATTTTGTCCTGCCGGAAGCTAATAAAAAGGAATGCATAGTTCCAATCCCATTCATTATGATTTAAATAATACGATTTTAAAAGGCGCAACAAACCTTGTCGTATCCAACCAATTCAATGGTCTTCGTCTTAACCATCGGTTGTTGGGGGTAAACCATCAGGTATAGTAGGGTATCTATTCTACGAAGTTGATTATAGGCGATGGCGCCGATGGCCTGTTTTCCCATAGCACATTGATACCTAATTAATTTTAAATTAAGGTATATCAGTGCTGAACTAGGTTAGAAAAAATACTAGCAAAAGGTGTCTTACGTGTTTCTGGGACTTTGGTTGTGATGCGGATACGGAATCAACCCTGCCACGGCTCCCAAAATAGTAAATGGCTCAATTTCAAGGTGTGTTGTTTGATGAACAATTTCACGTTCATAGATAGCAATGTTTGAATCATTTTCCTCATTCACATCCAAGTATTCGACAAGACCTTGCGCTAAAAAATCCGTGAATTTCATTTGGCCCTGTTTTAATTTCTGTCAAGAAATGAATAAGCAAACAACAATAAGCAAGGAGTAATCATTGGGAGTGAAATAGATGGAGAAAAGTCGTCAACCTTAATGTGTTCAGATGTCACTTTCGGTACTTGAGATTCTACTATTATTAGGGGGCGGCACACGCGTCCACCGTCGGAGGCGATGTGAACAGCCATGTGATGGTGGTTCACGTAAATGCTGACAAACTCGGATATTCGTCCACAACGACGCAAACTCCGGAAATCCTTGACAAACCCCGAGGGTTGTTGCGTAATACCAAGCATGAGACCATTCAAGAAAACCATGTATGAATTTGGCTGATAAAGCTCACTGCCTGTGAGACTACTGACATCTAAGGAATTAAAAAGGTGACAGTATGATTTGGTTGGCATCAATAAGCCAGAGTTGAATAACGGGAGGAAGAGAGAACAAGAAAAACCTGATACCCTCAACACCAAGGTTAAACGCAAGCCTTCTGAGAGGTCCCTCTTCGTCATCGGTTGTTATGTGGGTCATAAGAGCAAGGTTTTTGACCAATCCGCAAGCCTCCCCTTCGGGAGTGTCGGCAGGACACAACATACCCCATTGTGACGGCTAATTTGAATAAAATAGGTCAGATTCAGATTTACTGTAGTCAAAAAAAAAGATTATCAGAAAGGGATTTGTCGTCGCAACATTCAAAGTAATAGTGTACTAACTTGGAGGGCTCGAGGGCCACTTATCTTTCTTGTCTTCTCATACTGTGAAGTTATCCTGGTCATGGTTCCCAACGCCGAGATGTAACTCAACCTGCTAAGAACATGGGTGATCCCAGCTCTCTCCATTTTAAATCGTTTTAATGACCAATTGCCAGTGGCAATAGCACGAACAAAACCATTCGTAATGCAATCGCCGTGTTGCATCAACTGCTTGTGTGCATCAAATTCTGATGCTCGATTGGGTTTCTTCAGTAGTTTATCGATGTTCAATTTGAGGTCGAAATTAAATTTTTTAAATAAATCTTCGAATAAAAGAGATAGCAATGATCCGGCGCTGAGAGAGACAAATTCATCAAACAATAAATTAGAATTGTCATCGTTTAAGCGGATTAAAGAAGAAAAGAAAAAATCAGGTACACACAGTTCTAATCTTTTGTTTCCAACATAATCTCGATCGTCTACAAGATTTTCGTTTGCTAGGGCCATCAAAACACGTCGAATCATTATAGCGATGTAAATAACCTTTGGCTGAAAATTTAAGTCGACCACAGGAACGTGAGCGAGCACCACCGTTGCAAGGATCTCCAGCGCTTCTTCGGCCATGGGTCTACGAACATTCGCTATCTTTCGCGTCACCTTGACTTTACTTCCAATATAGTCCAAAGCTTGCTTTTGAGTGAATATCTTAATTTTTGCTGCGTGCTCAATGTTGGGAGAGAACATATTCAGAAATGTCTGATTTCCTCCGGAAATTAATTGCGCTATCTCTTTGTCAGACTGTATACCCATGGCCTGTTTCGATAATGTGAATAAATATTCCGACGAATATGCATATCTGCAGACCTCAAATAATGACCAAATACCTTCATCACAATAACGATCGGAATCTCTTCTGAAATCGAATTGTGTTTCAACATTATTTTATCATTTTTCGCGTCGTTCTTTGCAACTATGTACGTTTTACTCTTCCGTTCGTGGGTCGAACTGAAAGGAGACACGATTAAAAGTGAGCCATATTGTTGATGGCCAATAGTCACAGAACAAGACGGTGATCGCGTACCTTGTCACGTAAGCCTGAACAAGGCCCTTTTTATCACCTTCAACAATAATTCGATTCTTTGAGAGTTGCTCTTGGATGAGTATAACCTTTTCCGTTCCCTTTATTATGAAATAGCCACCTGAAAAGGTCATTTAACATTTTTGCGGAGACAAGTTAATTGCTTGGATCGTCACGGATCAAATCAAAGAATAGACGAACCTATATGAAAAATTTCATTAACCTGGGTCCAAAGGGCATTCGAACATTTTGGCCAGCTCCGCTTCGGATTTACCCGTTAATACGCACTTTGAACTTCGAAGCATGATGGGCAACTTTCCGATGATCGTGTCTTTGCGGATAACCCTCGTCTTGCCGCGAACATATTCAACGTCCACATAAATGTTTCCCGAGTATGTTAAATCGCGTAAACGACACTCGTGTGGAGTAAATATGCTTTGATGCGACTCGTGATCGGTGTCTGGTCTTTCGGGTGGACCAATCTTAATGTCAAGATATCTGTCGAATCGTAAGTGATAATTAATAACGAAAAGGATGATAACGAGAAGGGAAAGAGGTTTTGGAGGTGAATGGATCTACTTTAACCAGAAAGACGGATCAACATCCGAGGTAATCATGTCGTTTGCCCGGATGATTTTTTTCAATTCAGTCTCGATGAAGTAATTGAAGGAATCGATATGTTGTTTCACCAAACCCTTTACTTTCAGGAAGGCTGGTAGGAGCTGCCATTTGTCCTAAAAGGGTACAATTCATTTTTGAAGGTTGGATCAACTTTGCATTTTGCGACGCAAAGATTAGAGCAGTCAACGTACCTCAACATTTTTTATCGGATCCGTCAGGCGTTTTTCGACAGAGGTTGTTCTCTTTGCCTGCTCATAAGACTTTTCGTTTTTTTCCGAGTTTTTGTCGTCAGCAAAAGTGACGGTCTTTTTACCCATTTTTTTTAGAAAGTCACAGCATTAATGACCACCGCATTTTTCGAGAGAATTTATGTGAGATCGAGATCGACGGTCAGATCAGGATTTTGGGGCGCGTAAACGATGAGTGGACCCCGAAATACTTCAATATCGAGATCAGAAACTCATAAATTGTGATCGAAGATGTCTATTCCTCGAGATCTGTTAAACAAACGTATTCAGATTGAAGACCAGCTTGCCACAGTTCGTTATGTTGGACCCGTTCCACCGAGGGGAGAGTGGATAGGTATAGAATGGGATAATGTGTCAAGGGGAAAGCACGATGGCGTCCACGATCAAATTCGATACTTCACCTATAGGTTAGTCTCATCATACCCTGTTCTTCTTTCCTACATCATGTTTTCGACGTGATGAGTAGACAATTTCTATTTTTATGTTGATTTTCTTTTTTTTTTTTTCTTTAATAAAACCAGCGTTCCCAATTCCGGTTCTTTTATCCGCTATTCGCCAAAGATTGATACAGGTCGAAGTTTCACCTCGGCTATTATTGAAAGATATATTGAAGATCCTGATTATAAGCCGATTGATGAAAAAGAAATGTATGATGCGCAAAAAGACTTGGATACACTTTACTGGGCGGGGAACACGAAGATCGAAGTTGAGGCGTTGGGTTGGGAAAAGATCCGACGTAAACAGCGGTATGCAATCGCATCCATACCGGCGCGCATACGTTGTCCCATTGTGTACTAATTTCATATATCTATATAGCCATTTGGATCGATTAAGAGAAGTGGGACTTTCTTTCGAGAGAATATCGAGCGCAGGAAACCCTGGTGAGATCGAAGCATTATGTCCAAGTAGGTTAAACAGGCGATTTATTTTATTTCATTTCATTTTTCAGACGTTGCCAAGTGCTTGATGCACGTAATTTTTTTTTCTCTTTCTCTTTTTTGCAGACATCATTGATCTGAATCTGTCAAAGAATTTGTTATCCAATTGGGAAACGGTCGCATCCATATGCCGACAGCTCAAGAATTTGGAGATCTTGCGTCTAAAGTAGGTTCATTCGAGAACGAAAGGTTCATCATACGCCTATTCCCTATAGGGCTAATTTGCGGATAAACTGTATCCTTTATTAAGTTACAATCGGTTTCAGATTTTGAAAGGTCCTCCAAATTTCAGTGAAGTATTCTTGAATCTAAAAAGTTTGTCCCTCAATCATACTCGGATAACATGGGATCAGGTTAAATTGGTTGCTTTTTTAAATTTAATTCCCTTGTTCACATGCAGATAATGTTAACACGAGTTCTTTTTTTTTTAGATAGAACTGCTTGAACCATGTCTCCCAAGTATAGAGAACCTGCAATTAGGGTTCAACGGTATCAAATTGCGGATCGAAGATGACGGCGACAAGGAAAATCGGGCCACCACGAAGATCAAGGGATTTGTAAAGTTGAAAATCGTCAATCTTGAATCTAATGCCATATGCACGTGGGAGGAGGTTGCACGATTTTCGGATCTCCCGAGGTCACTGTCATACTGTCTGATATTTGTTTGTTGGATGTGGTCATCTGTTTTCTCATTTGAAGCTTGTGATTTAATTGTCAATAGTTTGGAAGTCCTTTTTCTCAATAACAATGCTGTTGATCGAATGCTTCATCCAGGAGGTGGATTTCCAAAGTTGAAACATTTAAATGTTAACGAAAACAAAATTGGCGATTGGGGTAGTATCGATGAGTTGAATAAATTCCCATCGCTGCAGGAGTTGCGAATCAAGAAAAATCCATTCCTCGAGGGTATTCATACATTATGTTTCTCATGATCAAGTTGAATTCCGGAGTCACTCACTGATTTATATTCGGTCGTTCGTTTTAAGATGAAAAGCTCGACGAAGCCAATCTGTCGATAATCGGCAGGATTAAAGGATTGAAGATGTTGAATGGGAGCATTGTAAGCAAACATCTTTCTGGTTTTGAATTTTACATTTAGAAGGTGGTAGGACGATCCGTCTCGTTTTTTTTTTCAGATATCACCGGGAGATAGAACCGACGCGGAGAGGTTTTACCTCCGACTGTGCGTAAAAGATTTAAAAAGAACGATCAAAGAGATAGAAGATGAGCATCCCAGATTCAAAGAATTATGCGAAATCCACGGGACACCCGTGGCCGATGAAATTTCCGCGGCTGCCGCTAGTAACGTTTTAAAGGATCGACTATTAGGTTCGTATCGAAAATTGAAACGTTTATTTTTATCTTGCATGATGATTGACAACATGATGTGCACACGTTCTTTTCAGCTTTGACCATCACCCATCGTCCATCACTCGAAGGAGAACCAATAAAAAAAGTTTCAAAGAAACTGCTGGGTAATTATTTGTAATACGATGACAACAACATTCGACTATTTTACATAAACATACTTCATTAATATATAAAACTTAGGCACCATGGAAATAAGGAGTTTGAAGAACTTGCTTCAAAAACTATTCGGAATACCGGCATCTCGACAGCTCCTTTACGGAGTTAGAAATTTTCAGGTGATCATTATTTTTTGAACGCCTTTTAAAGTCACCCTCGCCGACTAACATTCTTCCATCGGTGTCAGTCCGAAGATGATAAAGAGAAACCGAAAGAAGAGATAAAGGACGATTTAAGACAACTATCGTATTACGATATTTCTTCCGGAGACGAGATTATCATTCTTTCGTCATAGAACGGTTTAAATTATTAAATTGATAAACTATTCATATCCGTTTCAGTTAATTTATTGAAAACAGGGTCTCTTGGTGGGGGAATTAATTATTTATTTCCTTTTTGAATGATCACACCTCGAGTGTTTTGTCACATGATTACCGAATAGCACAAAAGTGTCAATATGCATTGACGAGTCATCAACACCTACTGTATCTCTAATTATCTTTCCAACCCGTGGTGACCAAATAAATGACTGTGTCCATCCTTCCGACAAGCGTAAAAAACAGTTATCAACGAATTTCGGTATATTGTGAGGGAATTGAGTATGGATGCACGTTAACTGATTATATAGTATTACAGTATTATTGTAGGAGATATACTGTAATCTAACGGAATCTAAATGACAAGAACGGAAATTCACCTATGAAATATGCGATGCACGTAAACCATATTAAACCATATTAGTTAACTCCGCCTTCATGGTACTTAAGAGAATTGTTATTCCCAAGTCTCGTTCGTCATAATTAATTTATCGAAGGTGACCACAGCGTTTATCTTTGTTGCATCGAAGAATGATTCCGCAAACATTTATGAGGGCAACTCGTGGGTACCTTAATGTGGAATCGGTCTACACAATTTCGATCCAAGTATATGTAGGTACAATCATTTATTAAAGGGGGGAAGATCGGATTTGCAATGTAGTGTAGTGGAGATTCCGAGCAGACTATGTAATTTAATATAAACACTTTAACCGTTTCCTTATTATTTCCTCCATATGGATGGTGCTGAGGGGGGATTTAAAAAGAAAATCGTTGACATTTGTTTGTTGTGCGTGCACTTGATGCGACCAGTTTTAATATAGAAATTCGATAGTGGATTTTCATTGAATACACGGATGCAATGTGCATATATTAATTAAGCGTCCGGAACTCTTCTACACACATTTGGTTACCAGCAGCCTTTTCTTTTTCCTAAAAGCGAAAAATATTTCTGGATGGTATTTATAGGTCACCATCGAGATGTCGTATATTATTAATTCTTACATGAGCATGCAGATTACGAGATGTCAATCGGTTTGGTAGTAGATCTATAATATCTCTGGCGGGAATGAGTGAAATGACAGGGGGATGTCTCCGATAGACTGAATGAGGCCTTTCGGACTCGCCTCTTCATTCTGTTAAGGTCATAGGGTCGCGTGTAGATACAGTATATGCTTTACTTGCTTTACTTCTGATCCCTCATACAGCAAAATTGCGTATCATGGTGATCCCGGGATTGACCTAGGCGGACCGTGAATGGTTCCGCCAACCTCGAAGGCAGTAGAACCGAACAGTTTTAACGGTTTTTAGAACAGGGTATTATTTGTGTTTGATGTCTTCATAATTAAGGAGTCTATTTGTATCGACGCATTGCCGATTACTAAACTATGTATATGTTTGAGTCAAAAAAAAAAGCCAGTAATCTTCCACCATCGGGAGTCATATTGTGGCACAAATAAAATCGATCAGAAATTAAACCATAAACTATTAATCTCCGATTATCAATGAGCGCTTATGGCAGAAAGTGTGATACGAAATTTGCTCACGTAGCACCTGGTGAGTCACTCGCATGAATTTCTTCTTCATCTCATTGCTTCTTTACGTCGAACCTCGGAACTTTTGCCTGGAAATTTTGGTTAATAGGAGATGAGACGACCAGAAAGGCAGTTAAACCCGTCAACAAGAATTCCCTAATAGCATATGCATGCGTAGCTTATAATCATACGATTGTGTTATGCATTCTTTGATATCGATCATGCATACGCGCGAAACCAACAACAAAAAAGAAAAAATTATTTTTATAACAAGGCATGATTAAATAGATTCCGCGTATGTTTCGAATCTCAGATCAAGATAAAAATAAGCGCATCCGCGTTCACTTCTCGATCGGTCGCTATTGTGCGTTTCTCTTTTCTCTCTATCTTTTTTTTTTAGTTCACGTTTTCTTGGTCGATTTCTTCCTGGGAGAAACATTTTTTTTTTTTTTGCTCAAAGCCCGCATTTCCTTTCAATTCATCACCGAAATTCTAGATGCATCTGATAGTGAGAATTATTCCGATTAAACAATATTAATATTATTAAGATACGCACATGCTGCAATATATTTATATATCATTCAAACGCTAAAATTAACCCCGAATAACGTATAAATAAAACCATTTCACTTTCCCTTCTGAAGCAAAACCTCCATCTCCTCTCTCTCCCCTCCGAACAACCATTCATCACCTTCATTTATAGACGTGACGAAAATCTATTATTATTATTTATTTTTTATTTTTTATTACTCCCCGAAATTTCTATACACACACCAGACGTCATTTCCATAATGTCTAAATTCTGACCTTTCGACAATACCGTCAATTCGTATCATTCCGATCTACAATTATATTAATCTTTACGCCTTACTCTATTCGCAAGTAATTATCGTAATTAATTCACTATAAACTCTAACCCCTCGTTTCTTCTTCTGTTTTGGTTACTGGGATAAGTATTTGTACCGCGACCGCCGGTAGATCGTCAGACTTTATAAGGTGAAGGTTGGTCGAGAGATTCCTCATCGGGAAATTTTTCAATTTTAAGCTCCTACCGTAAACTAGGTTACAGGTTAACCTAATTGTTCTGGCTCTCCACACCATTCATCTATTGCGAAACGTCCCTTGTCATTCTAACGACGTTTTCTGTTCCTTTTTAAAAAGTCCACACGGGATAGTCTCGGTGACAACACCTATCACTATTTCAATCAATTTGAAAGTATTTATGCGCACACAATATTGATGTGATCTTGGAAACATTATTGTTTTTAAAGTGTCTGGAATGCTCACGTAGACATCAGTAGTCACATATATTACCATTTTCAATTCAAGATTCTCTCCAGCAATCAACCGAACCAAAAAGATCTTCATTAACCTATTTCGGCGATACTCACGACCTCACTCATCCCCTCTTTGCAATTAACTATTAATGTTATTTATATTATTTATTGGTTATTTATTATTCTTTTTTTCCTTTTTCTTCTTTTTCTTCACTTATTTTTCGCAACCGGTTCCGCAGTGTGGTGTCTATAACTTGTTGAAAATTAATTGTCTTTAGTTTCAGGAACGCGCGAAATCGATGTCACTTTGCACATGAAGCTAACGTCGTTCACCAGTCCTGTCTACTTAATCTCAAAAAGGAACAAGAGAACGAAATCACTCATTAATAATAATAATAACTTTAAAGCATAAATGTGTGATAGCATTCCGCAATATTTTTGCTTATCTCACCATTGCTTTCACAGACGACGATATTCAATAAATTAAAAAACGCATCGTAGCTACTCTTACATCGAGGAACTCCTCCCCTCCCCCTCCCCCTCCCCCTTCTCCCCCTTCTCCCCCTCCTCCCCCTCCTCCCTTCTCTCCTCTCTATCGCCACAGATTATCATATTGATTATGAAATGGGCATCAATCATCGTAATATCTCTAGTTTGCCTTCCGATGATGACGACGGTCGCCCATTCGCTATCGATGGCGACGTGGAGTTTTCATCATGCGGAGAAACGAGCTGGTCTCGTAGGCAATCGGAATTTCTTTAAGAACTACGACAAGGGGGACGCGATCACGCGGAAGAATACGCAAGAACGGTTATTTGATAATTCACATTCACGTAACTCCTTCGGCAGTGGTAGTGTTAGGGGCGAAGACGTCAACAAAAGACCGCCGAATAGAAGATCTCACCACACTACCCAAACAATGCAACCGACTAAAACGTCCGCCACCACTCACGAGGGACAAAAATTTACCTACCCTCGTAAATCGTGCAAGAAATGCGTGATTCGCGCTACAGCCCCAAATTCTTCTGGAACCTCGACCCCTGTCACAACCACCACTACCATCACCGCCACCGTTACCGCTGTCAGCACTCCAACTTCGTCCTTCAGAGGCGACCCATGCCCCACTCAGTGTGGAAGTCCACAATGTTTCTGTGACGCTGAGAAACCGTTGTGTTTCGTCAACGCCTCTGGATTCACGTGTAACACCCTGTCGACCGTCGGATGGCACATTGACAACTCTGGCCTCTCTTTCATCAATGCCAATCTCAACGGCCTCAACGAGCAATGCAATTCATTCGTTCCACCTGTCAACGACGCTGATCGCCAGAACCTGATCGACCTATTGTCTGTCACCGCCTTTGGCAAGGCGAACAGGAACGTTTCGGGCATATGGACTGATCCATTCGATTTTCTGGGAGATTGTAACAGCGGTTTTTTTTGTGACACCGGCTACACTTCTAATGTAATGACGGATAAAACGCAACCATTGAAAGGGACGTGTATGGTGAAGCTTGGATTGGGCAGCGCGTGTTTAAGTGTGAATCAATGTGACACTCAACGTTGTGTGAATCAATCAGACTTAAGTTCTCCCACCGCCACCGCGGCGGTGGTAGAAGCCGCTAATGGAAGCGAGACCACCTCGACATTCATTTGCGCGCGACTCACCGACAAGACACTACCACTCACCGAATTGGGATCCAATGTCAATACGAGTGGAACCTTTCTCTCAAACACCGCAGAAATAGCGCTATTGAGCATCGGATGCGTGTTGGTTGCGTTCTTTATAGGATTGTTAATATTGAGGATTCGGAAGTGTATTAAAGCAGCCAACAACAATACCAACAACACTGGCCGTAATGACGAGACCAATATGTATGTAAATAATTCGGAGAAGTCACGTTGTTTCCTAGAAAGGTTCCGTGGAAGATCCCATAACTACAAGCAAAATCAACCGATTTCCACAGTCGATGGCACCACCACCATCACTACCATTAGTAGCAATAACGAAAGTCAAACAAATAGCAGTTCCAACGACACGTTCACCCGATGGAATTTCGGCAGGAATTTTGTGGCCAAACATCTGTCGGCTCTTAGAATTGGCCTTAACAATGGCCTGGCGAATTTACGGTTTTCTATTCGACCGCGTTCTTCGACCAACAACGGGGAGATGCGGTTCTCCATTGTGCCGGGCGGCAGTGATAGCGATGGCACAAGCGGTGACAGGCGCGTGCAGGTAAACGTGGACGATGGAGGTGTGAGATCTTCGCTTTTGACAAATGCCTCGGATACATTATCCGTGCTGCTTCCACCACCTCCGAGTTTTCACAATAGGTTAAGTCGGGATGACATGTTTGGTAACAAAAACAATGAGAATGCGCAGAATGATCACGAGTTTAGTAATGACACTTCGAGATACAGTAGCATTGGAATATACAGTGCCGGATACACCAGCGGAACAAGTAACGAGGGTGGATACGACTATAGCACTTTTGGAGAACTTTACAACAATCTCAACATCAACCTCAATGGTAACATCACGACGTTGGCACCAACGAGCCAGAATGCGCATAATTCCTACAATAGTGGAATACAGAGTAGTGGAATTGGAAGCGCGAATGAAAGTCTTGTGATGTTGAGCAGTGGCAGTTTGAATGATCTTGGATTCGGTGGGAATGGTAGAAGTGACCGAAGCGATGGAAGCAATCAAGGAGGTATCTATGAAATCGAGGTTATCAACGAGGACACGGGGGGAATAGACATAGACGATGTGAGAAGTGGTGAACAGTATGACATACCTTTTCGTATTAGTATGAACGCTCCTAGTGTCGAAGGTTTGAATGATCCTGTATTCGGTGGGAATGGTAGGAGTGACCGAAGCGATGGAAGCAATCAAGGAGATATCTACGAAATCGCGGTTATCAACGAGGATACGGGGGGAATAAATATTGACGATGTGAGAAATGATGAACAGTATGACACGCAAAACGTACCTTTTCGTATTAGTATGAACGCTCCTAGTGTCGAAGGTTTGAATGATCCTGTATTCGGTGGGAATGGTAGAAGTGACCGAAGCGATGGAAGCAATAAAGGAGGTATCTATGAAATCGAGGTTATCAACGAGGATACGGGGGGAATAGACATTGACAATGTGAGAAATGATGAGCAGTATGACACGCAAAACGTACCTTTTCGTATTAGTATGAACGCTCCTAGTCTCGAAGTGATCGAAATGACGAATCCTAATTTTGACCGCTTCAGCAAGAGAGTGTCAAATAATTCCATTTTTATAGCGAATGTCGGTGAAGATTACTCTACTGAAAATCTTGAGGATGAGAAATACATCGCACAGGTGAAGCTATACGAAGGATTACAGCTAATAGAAGAATTATTGATGGATGACGAGTTTCAGAAACAAGAGGAGTGTGAGAGAAAAGAATATTTAGAACAACAATTACAAGAGATAAAGCAACAAGAGATGGAAGCCGAGGAGAGACAAAGGGAATTGGAAGCTATCAAATTGTCCGAAAATAATTTAAGGGAGTTGGAAAGATTGTCAAAAATACAAGATGACAACTTTACTGAGAATTTGACTTCAGAAACGAGGGCGGAGGAATCGATGGAAGGAGCCGGTGTAGGCGAGTCACGGAATTCTCGTGGAATTGGAATTCGGAATAGTAGAGCATCGTGTAATAGCGATGATAGTGACATACATGGAGGAATGCTCGGTGAATCACCCTAAGAATGGTTTTTCGGAACTTTGGATCTCAGCATAGAATCCGTCTTGTAAAATAATTTATTGCAATTGTGTTCAAAAAAACATTTAAATCAAAAATCATCTCACATTCATCCCACTTATTTCTTTGTCCGAAAAATATAATAATATAATAATAAATTGAAAAACTAAAGGAAGAATACCGATAAACAAACAAAACCATTGTACATAGAAAATTTTTATTATTACAAAATGGGTAAAGGAAAAATACCCTGAAATTTGATTAATTTTGTTATCATTTAACCATTTATTTAAATAAATTATTGAGAAAAAAAAAAAAAGCTTTCGTATTTGCATATACTGCATCACTCCTTATTACTGTAAATTCGCGGCAACACGCCCGCGTTGCTGTGTTTTGCGTCTTCTAAATGCGTACCCTATTTAATGATACTATTCATAAATTTTTTACGCGTTAATTAGTTGTATATTGTACAGCATGATTATGAGTCGCATCATATAATTCCCACTATGCGAGTATTATAAAATTTTTTTTGTTTATGAGAAAAGAATATTAACCGAATAACTGTTAACATTGTATAAATTAATAACATCACAATCGAGACATTAAATAAATATCTACAATATTATATTTTTTATTTTTTGAAAACCGACTTTTTATTAAATCAAAGAATACATTGTGATCCAATCAAAATATTTAAAAGTGACATTAATAAAATTTAATCTAAGAGACAGGTGTTGAAAATAAAATAAAAAAATAAACTTAGATCTCCGTATATATCCAATAAAATTCATATTATTGTTTAGATAAATTTATTATACAATACTAGTTAAAGTTCTATATCACGTTAAAAATATGAGAAAGTCCACTAAACTAAATCTTAATTATATATTATAATTCAAATTTAGAAAATAATATTTTACTTTTTTAATATACCGTATTAATGCTAATGATTTTTATTTATTAATATTATTGTTAATAGTTTACTATTTTTTAAAAAATAATATAGTCAATTTATTTGAAGATATTAGTGAGTATGATAATTTTAGTTATTATATATTAAAAAATAAAACTATTTTATAAATATTATGTACAGACGGATGACACCATATTAAAGTGATTTTTATAACACAAAAAAATTACTACATATATTTTTTATTTTTTATATCTAAAAAAATAAATTACCAATGTGTTACGTATTCCTTCTTTTTAATTA